GATATCGCCAATGTCCTTGCGAGGACCTCGCATCGTGCCTTTGATAAAGAGGAGCTTGTGCAAAGCGTGGGGCTTGTGAGCGCCCAAAAAAACAAAGAACGGGAAACGATACGTCGCGATGTGCCGACCGCTCCTGAGCCCTTTAATTGAGTTGAAGTTGTTGTTTTTGTTGTTGTTTTTGTTGTTGTTGTTTTTGTTGTTGTTGTTTTTGTTGTTGTTGTTTTTGTTGTTGTTGTTTTTGTTGTTGTTTTTGCCCTGGCTGCCTTTTCAGGGTTCACGGCGCAAACACAAAACGCGCCGAGCCCCGCGCAGGCGCGCGCGCGAACTCCTCCGCTGGCTCGACCCGGACACTCGGAACGCGTCAACGCCACGGCACCACCCCCTCGAGGCAGCCCTCCGTCTCTGTCTGTGTGTTGGGGGGGAGGGGGCTGGGGGGGGGGGAGCGGTGGCGCAATGGTCGAACTCAGCATTAAATGAGCCGCTGGTGCGATGTGTAAATATTCGCCACTGGCGAGAGAAAGGAGGCCGGGCTGTATTTCTGGTCAAACCACCGGTGCCGGCCTTCATAGGTGACACTCGCTAAGAGTACTTGCCCTGACAGTCTGTTAAGGCTATACGGGGGATCTTTGTCTTTGTACGTGCGTACCCAGGATATGATATATATATATACACTTCAATGCTTTCACTTTCTATAAATACTGAGAAACCCATCAGACAGAAGAGTGCGTCTGGGCCGGAAATATAACAGCAATTATACAACATGGAAAAGGTGATTTAAATATATACACGTTATAAGTATATCCGTTTCACGAAATGAGAGATCATTCATATTACACTTTATTTTAAACGCCTAAAATGAATTTGGCAAATTTGCCGATGCAGCCCCTGTGTGGATTCAGTGACACTCTCCTGAATGAAATGGTCGTAATTATAATGGGAATTTACTTGAATAAACACGACTTTCGGAGGCTAATCTTCACGAAGCTTGATAAAAAAAAATACGTTGTCAATGTTGTACAAATACAACGGAATCGACATTAATAATATACATTAATGTTATACATTAATAATAAATAATATACATCCCAACTATTCGAAGCCTATCGATACATTTTACGGCTACACTCAGTACATGGGGCCCTGTCCTGAGACGTTCGAATTGAGATGCAGCCGTTTGATAATCCACTGCTGGACGAAGGCCTCCCTCCCTACGCAGTCTCAGTTGAAGGGGGTTGTTTGAGGTTTAACCTCCATCATGTTCTAATAAACTATGAACAAATATTTTAAAAAAACTTTTATTTTATTTTACCAGGTAAGGCCCACTGAGCTATTTAGCTCAGTAGCTCTTTCACAAAAGCCACATGGTGATCACAAATGATAGCTCAACGAAGTGGCTTATCATCATCATCATCACGTGGAAATGTGGAGGGGAAACCCGGAGGGTCCGGAGAAAAATCCACGTCGGCCACAGGGAGAACATGCAAGCTCCAAATATACAGTGGGCGTCAGGGATGAGGATCGAACCCACGACCTCCGTTATACCAGGCGAGGTAGTTAACATCCCGCCACCGCAGCGCCCTATATATACACACGCACGTAACGTACAGGCATGCATGAGCTCGTGATCCATCGATAGATACCCCACTGATCTTGTAATGGTTCTCATACTTCGTTATCAACGGGTGATTGCACATCTTAAAAAGCGTTTGCTCAAATCTTACAAAGTGTTACAACATTTAATACGATTGTTGAGAATGGGCGAGAGACGTGTAGAGGCAACGGGCATTGTTTTCTCGATCATTTCTCCATGATGTTAGTGGGGTATCCACACACGGATCACCGTCTACTGCATAGAACGCGATCGAGTGGACATCCACCCACCGAGGAGATGGATCGCAGCAGCGTGACGGCTTGGAGAGGCCCTCATCCAGCAGTGGATTGACCAACGACCGCGCATTGATTGTTAAAATTCAAAACAAAATACATCGATCAAATTAAGCCTTGCAGTGAAACATCGTTTAATTGTGATTCCATAAAAAAAATACTTTGATTCCCGTGTACATTCATAAAAAATCACCACAATCGTAATTAACTGATTGTAAGAGTGCGAAGTCAATATTAGGTTGACTTTTATGCCAGTGAACCTAGATGCTGTATATACAAAAGACAAAGATCCCACTTCCCCCGTATAGCCTTAACAGACTGTTGGGGCAAGTGCTGAGCCAGCACCTATGAAGGCCGGCGCGGCACACGAGGGGGTGGGTGGCCAACACCACGCCCGGTCGCCTTTGTCTCCCGAGTGGCGACGTTTACACATCCTACCAGGTCCAGTAATACCCCCGAATTAACGTCTCCTGCTTTTTTATTTTACGTCGTTTCGCAAACAAGTCGTCACTTTATTCACACCGCTACCCGATTTGCGTCGCCGTAACCACCACTCACGTCGCCGACTGCACCGTCCGTCCTTTCTCGTATCCGTCGCTTCTCAGCCTTCGCCTCCACCATCACCTGCTACCATCCCGTAACTCGCTTTGATTTACGTCGTTTTGATATTCGTCTCACCTTTCAGGAACGCGCCCCCGACGTAAACCGGGGTATCGCTGTTCTCATTGGAGGCAGAGTTGACCTCAGAGAGGCCCAGGACGGGAGTTCAGATAATCGTGCCTGGTGTTGGTGGCCGAAGGCTGGAATCGAACTCGGGTAGCCGGGTTCGCAGTGCAGCCTGCTAAGCACGACACCACCGCTCACCATACACATGGAGATAGACACAAAGGTCCTCCGCGTATCAACTTTTAGCCGATCGTTGCGAGCATGACACGCGAGGGTGTGGCGTGGTCACATCGCACCAGGTACTCATTGATGGCTGAGAGCCGATTCAGGGACCGTGTCAGGTATCACCCGCCACTCATGTTCAGTGGTGGCCAGGAATCTTCGAGGGCCAGGTTATATAACGGAGTATGCTAACCACTGCGCCACCGCTCTCTACTGTGTGTATGTATGACAACAAAGGCAAAGATCATCCGTGTAGCCTCAATAGACTGCTGGGGCAAGTGGTGTTAGCGAGTAGCACCTATGAAGGCAGGCATGGCACACAAGGGGTGAGGTGGCCAACACCACGCCCGGCCGCTTTTCTCTCCCCAGTAGCGATGTTTACACACCGCACCAGGTGCTCATTTGAGACTGAGTCGACCTGGAGGAGGCCCAGGACGGGCTCAGATAATCGCCACTGGTGTTAGCCGCCAGCGAGAATCGAACTCGCGTCGCTTAGGTTTGTAGCGTGCTCCACTGTGTGTGTGTATATAGAGAGAGAGAGCTAACACCATGGGTCAAGAGGTGTTCATGTCGTCAAAAGCGGGGCACATTTTTCTGCAAGAGGAGCTTCGGGTGCCCCCAATCACCCATAATTACTGACCGCCGCGCACCTGTCAAGGGCTAAACAACATAACTGCAGGGGATTCCTCCCAAACGCCTGCACACGGCAGAGCGCCCGAGACTCATTAACCTCCCCCATCCCACACAAGTCGAGTATTTTATTCAACCAGGTGAGAGCGAGCCCACGGGGACGGGCGAATCCATCAAGGGGATTACATCGAAGTTTTAATAAATCCACGCTTAACATCCATCCTCCCTTGCCACGCAAACTTTTGAAAGATGCGGGTACATTCGTCCTGTGATTTGAACGCGAGTGGTGCTTCTCTACCCCGCGAGAACCGTCGGCGGAGTGCTGCAGCTCTACCCGTGTGCTGTTTGGGTTGTGCCGCGTGGAAGTTCCGACGTTTCAAAACAAGTGCCCGGGGTAAGCTTCTTCGGAAAACGAAATTCAGTTCCTGAAGAAGCGGACACACCGAGTTCAGCTCGTGAAGAAGCTCCGAGCACGTGGTTGCGAAACGCCGGACATCCTGGCGATCAACGCGCGGAGGAGCAACTCCCAAAAACACGAGAGTGCTGCGCTCTTGACACTCAATGGCGAATTCACAGCCAAGCCATGCAAGCCCACCAAAAAAAAAGGAACCACACTGCAATTATTTCCTAACGAGTACGCAGCGCTGATGGGAGCGTAAGGGTTCACGCGGGTTAAGCAAACAGTTTGTGTCGGGATTTGGAGCGAATTGTCGAGCTTAGCAGTTGAGTTAACGGGAGCACGGCCACCCCGTTCCCAGCCGAGATGCACCCCACGACAATCGCACAGACCAACTCCCCCCCCCCCCCCCACGTTGTGCAACGACCCTAACCAAACACAAGCATGGGTACCCCATTGGGTGCTTACAGGTCCCACCCCATCCCCCACCCCTACACACACGAGGTCTCCGTGGAAGTCTTGAGATGCGGCGGGGAGGCTGCTTAAGCTTGCCCCGACACGGCTGGGTGAGCATGGGAACGCGGCCGGAGAAGCTTTGTTGCGATGTGACCCCGTGCCGCCCCATGCAGCGTTCTCTGCAGCGCGCGTACGGAGTGATCAAATATAGTAATATCAAAACCGTTTAGGGTTATTTGTAAGCGCAGGGCTCGCTTCAGTTGTTGGCGTTTGCACGGAAATATCGGCGAGCTCTGTTGGATCCGCGTGGTAGCGCACTGAGAAAATGGGGCCAGGCAGGCATCCACAAAAATGGTTGAAATGATAAACATGCATTATTCAATACGCGTAAAAAATCACGTTTACTGGGCCCGGAATACTACTATAGTTGTCATGGGTAATAGTTAACGCGTTTCTTGAATTGAGCAAGGTGAGACAATGGGAGGGAATTATACATCGCAGGACTGCGATGTATGGCGATTTGGGGAGGCCTTCATCCAAAAGTCGAATGATCATGGCGATACACACGTGTTTTAAAATGAATACAACATCCACAGCCTTTATCCTTTTACTGTACCATCATACACCGGATGTCGAGTCATATTCTTAAGTGATATGCTTGCCAATAACCAGCTATGTGACTAAAGCTGCCCAAGTTTCTGGACTATACTGCTGCTGTACCTACAATGCATGGGCCACACGTTCATCGGAAGCATACGTTTATTTAACGATGCCTTTTTTTTGCACAGTAAAGCATACTATCGACGGGAGTTTTGGGATATGCAATAACGCAATACCCACTGACCTCGAGGCTTTTGTAAAGGTCACTTTTTAAAACTACACATCAGGCGAATGATGTGCTCACTCGAGCATCACGTGGGAGTTCAGTCGACGTTGAAATGGCACACTCAACCATGGGCTAATGTTGCGTAATCTTCCGCTGCAGAAAGCACGAGGTGCACAAGACGGACAAGCCACAAGGTGTTTTCTGCAAATCCTTTTTTTTGTGTTGGCCTTTTAACCGGCGATGCAAATGAAACCGTAAACTCGCCGGCGCTACTGCCCATCAATTGTTAAATTTTCCGTGCAACGCACAGAACTGGGAGCTTTTAGCCGTTGATTTTTTTTTATTAAATACAAGCGGCGGGGGGGGGGGATGTTGGCAAGGTAAATAAGATGATGATGTTGTGCTGGCAGGGCCATGAAGAAACCATAAAAAAGGGTAATTTACAATGTTCACTGGGGCAAAAGACCATTCACGGTCCAAATTGGGAGATTAAATTCAATACTCCACATTTGTTTAATATTACAAAAATGTGCACGGACAAAAAAAACTAAAATATAGCACGACAGTAAATCTGAATGGGTAGACTTAAAGTTTTGGAATGAATCAGTATACATTACTGTACTAAACAAAAACAGCAATGCGTAAAATTTTCCATGAAAAATTATCAAGGAAGCGGAACTGTTTTTTTTGTAGTAGTAGAATTTATTAATGCATTTGCAATTTGTAGGAATGATTTGTTTTGTTCGTGCTGGATTACAGCTCCGCTCGACGCTCTACTTGTAAAAGCTCCACTTCAAACACCAAGGTCGCGCCACCTGAGCAAGAGAGAAAGAGAATAAAAATACAACGCTCACATTCCGGCTACCGTCACTTAAAATGCACCGCTACAACAGAAATGTAAGCACGACAATACTTTGCATACAACGAACGCGCAGCAGCACTTGTTACGGGCGAGTGTAATACGTTTCACAAATCTAGTAATAATAACGGCTTAGCCTGGAGTTGTAATGTACATATACCCCAACATCGTCCATTGATTGATGTTACTTAATTTGGAAACACAAGTTTGTTAAAACGTTACGTTTTACTTTTTAAGTACAGTAAAAACCCTCGGTTTAATGAACCACCATTCAACGGATCACGGATTTAATGGACAAGATCTGCTGAATCCCGAGTTTTGTCTGAAGATTCAACGACTTTCCGGTAAAAAGGAAATCAGTCCCGTCAATTTTCGCTTCATCCCCTTAATGGGTAAACAGTATTTATTACACTACACGTGATTTTTTTGTGTTTAAAACGAGGTCAAAATAGAAGCAAAAGTGGAAAATGTGTTGTACAGTTAATTTACGGCACTTTGGTCTTTAAAATATTTTACAGTACAGTTTTGTATACGTAACGTCACGACAAAGGTGAAAAGTGATTGCTTGACGCTTGGACAGTTTGAAAAGAACGGGTTGGTATGGCGTTACAACAGTCATGTACCCTCCACTCAAATAATGTATGCAAAGTTATAATTTATTTAAGAGAAAAATACATTGAAATGTACGAGTATTATTACACAATTATTATCACTGTTGATTTTTTATCATGAAAAACATTACAATATTTTATCAGGAAGTAGTTTGCATGTGGTAGGGTGTGATTTAGTGCTCAAAATACGTAATTTGGCCATTAACGGGCAATCGGATTCTACGGACACCCCTTCCCCCCTATTAGTCCGTTAAACCGAGGGCTAATTCTACTCACAATATACAGGATTAAGATAAATGTACATTTGCTAACACCAACATGCAAATTCTTACAACGTTTAGTTATTTTGTTCCTACAAACGACAGTCGTCGGAATAAAACGATGCTTGCCGTTACAACGTAACACTTCATTGTTTACACGTTCGCTTCTCTCGGAAAACTGTCAGCACATACGCAGTGAATGAAACGCGCACAGGCTCTGCGTCTGGCACGAGTGGGCCACACGGCAAGGCAAGCGGCGGCACAGCGTGGCGGATTAATACACCCCCAGTGCACCGGGCAAATCTGTCGCGCAAGCAAGCCCCGCCACCCGCCCCCCATGTCAACCCTGCAAAAGAGCGAGGATTATACGAGACCCGTGGATAATGAGGCAATGTATAATTGCGTCCCTACTGTACCGTCCGAAAAGGAAATAGGTCTGAAAATGAGCTTCATGCTCTGTAGGTACACTCAGTAGTTAAACAAAAAAAAACGATAACCGACAGCTTCAGACCCAAATGTGCACATGTTTGCCGAATTGAACATTTAAACAATAGGAGAAATATGGTGCGAGCTGAATTGTTTTTGCTTCCCCATCGTCCGAAGGATTATTAAGTCTCTGTGTGGGGGCAGGACTATGCCATGCTGCTGTGTTTTTTGTTGTTGTTAAATGTGGCACCGTGTAGTAATTTCAAATTTGGTTAGCCCTAGGAGGATTCAATTGACACACACACACACATGAACAAACGTGTTGACTGCACTGAGGTTATGACATGAATCTCACATAATGGAAGTGATACACTGTCAACGACTTTCGCCACCCACATTACCTGGCCAGAAATGCCAGACTTAAAACACCTAAGAGGAGTAATTTTGAAATACCGGGGTTGTAATGCTACCAATATGTGAATACGGTAGCATAAATAAATTGAGAGGAACACCTAAATTGAATATCTATGCTACTGCTGCATAGTAGACTTATTCGTTCAATGTATGAATACAGATACAGGCCAGGGAATTCAAACGACTATAAAGGCAACATTTATTTTCCTTAAGTTTATAAAACATGACAAATGCATAAATCGTAACTCACCAGGAATTTTTGGTGGTGCTCCTCGATCCCCGTAACCTTTGAAAAAAATCAATCACACGGAATAAACGTTCAAAATTCCACCGGTTAAAAAAAATCCATTTCTATTACATACAATCAGAAAATCTGGACCTCTTAAACCTATAAAAGTGATTTTCCTTGGAACATCGGTGGCTTTAAATTTGAGGGCGCATTAAAAAAGACACGCACAAAGTTAAGAAGAAAAAAAAACCCCAAACATGCTATCTCCCTATTGCCGTTTACAAAGCTGGCTGAAACAAAATTGATAAAGTTCAAAGGGAGCTAAAAAAAAAGGAAGACGCTATCAGGCCATCTGAAGATTGTGGTAATTTGGAAGCGGAGGTGGGGGGGGGCCCGAGCCGTCTAATCATGCCGCAGACAAGACGAGGCCTCTTTGTCCCCAACTGCGAGAGGACATGGTCTGGCGGGCGCCCAGACGCGAACGCGTCCGTCAGTGGGCGGAAACAACGCGAGACAGCGGGCCGTCAGGCACGCAGACGCCGGGGACGCGACAGACGCAAGTCCTCGCAACGCCGGCCAATCGGCGGGTGCCCCCGCTCTTCAGCGGTGCCACATCCGACAAGAGGCCTCTCGAAATCTTGGGTGCCATTATGTTAAATTACGGCCGCTTTTCGATCGTTTCGGGAACCGCTCGTATGTCAGCCCTGTCCGTCCTGCGATATGCGGTGAGCTTGGGGGTTTGGGGGGGGGGGGTGAAAAAAAACTTTTACCAAGTTCAGGCGGGATGACCAGCTTTCTCTTCTCGCCTTCACACATTCTGCACGATGACAAAAAACATTTTTATGATGAAATAAAGTTCGGTTTAAATCATCAACGTACACAACCAGTGAACTCGTTCATGCCACAAGGTCACACTTGTGCTGCATTACAGCTGGAGAGACATCGGTTGGGATTCGGGCGCCAGTTCTTTTCTGCTCCAAGAGAGACCGAGTCGACGAGAAAGGAGTTTCACCGAGCCGAGACTAAACGTTCAAGAGTTTAATTATGTGAAGGCAAAAGGCGTGAATCAGTGTCAAGGACTGGAGCCTGAAAAAATACGTGAGTGATAAGTGGACAGAGCAAACACTACCGTGGGTGTACAGGGCATGTCAATCACGCGCGACTACCCTTTGTCCAAACCACCTTGCATTCACCGAGTTTGAGCACACACCTCACCACCACATTCATGTTGTAAGCATCCCCAAAGGTAAATCTTGCGGATAATAGGAATGCGTTGCCTGTGCTGTTTGCGTTAACGTAGATTTGACAATCAATACATTGTGGCTTTCCATTGTAAATACAATTAAAACACATACAAGCTTTACAGGTGGTTCCATAATAGTGCAGCATGTGTATAAACCAGTGTGTATGTCACCCATAGAGGAAAAAAAAAGGTCTTCTAAAAGAGAAACCCGGTCAACAGTAAGTAAACATCTCGATGTTTGTTGTTACGTGTGACATATCTCAGGAATGGCAGGTGCAATGGGAAGAAAAGAGGGTGAAAAAAAAACGCTTGCAAAGTGAAGCTCAAGTAATCACCACCTGCCACGCAGAGGGTTATGAAGAACCGTTAGCATTAACTAAGAGGGGATGACGGGTTAGGGTTTTTGGAAAACAAGTTTCAAAATTAAATTTCAGTCAGAAGGAAAGACACGATACCAAAAAAATACATCTACGTTTTTATAATTCATTGTGACAATTCACTGGGGACATTCCAACAATTGTACCTGCTACCAAACAGAAATCATTACTTCAGTGGTGGTGCATTATGATTAGTTACATGAGTGTAGCATTATTTATGCGAACTATAGCTTCGGCAGCAAATTATTGTGTTCTGACAAGCAGATGTTTCCAAAGTACAATTACAAATTGCCAACAAAGGTGCTCTGCAAACAAAAGGGCAAAAAAGGAGATAAAACAACGAGAGGGCCGGTTAGTCGACGTTGCTTGTGAACTGAAATTAGTTTATACTTTTGTGTTTATGTCATTATACAACGATTTGTTATAACTGGCTTTGACCCAAAAATAATGCAGGCAGCTGAATCAACACCTTTCAGACATAGGGGACGTGGCACACTCTCACATCTATAAAACAATGTGCCCGAGCTGCGGCAGGATATGCTACATACCCTGAAGCTAAATACCTGCCCTGTGAACAGACTCACTATTCGCAGACATGTTTCTTTCCAACGCGAAATGACGTGGACATGGCGGCAGCCTGTCTGATGAATGTGTAAGCCGATACGTGGGCAGGGCAGTGTCGAAACGTACCACTCACTATACAAGGCAAGATCGGGCTCATTACGTTTGTGTGCGCGTGTGTGTGTGTTTTCTTCCTGTTAATGCAGCTACTAATTAAAATGGTTATTAAGGAGCACAGTTATCTGTGTGGGCCCACGAAGAAGAAGGGATGAATGTATACCATGAAGACTGATGGGCTTTCATCAGGGGCTGTGTTTGATGGATGTGTGTAAACAACAATGCTGTGTTCTCTAATAACGTGTGCCCTATACACGGAAGAAACGTATAATCCACATCCGAGCTCTGCCCATTGTGCTGCATCAACGGCCACTACTATAGGCCTCGCTACTGGCTGCTATGGAAACTGTCATGCCGTTTTCTGGAGCAAGATACAATTGGTGGGACTCAATATACGAGCACCACGCCACCAAACACACAATGATTACTATGTTTAAAAAATATCTGTATTACATGCGCTTTTATCACTCTCGTTACAAACCTTTCCTTTATAATAACATGACTATGCTGCACACGTATTATCAGGTATACTCTTTTAACCACTCCAATTACAAGTCACAACTACTTCCAATACTGTTATAAGTCAATATATTTTGTTCAGAACTCAATAGCAATCATAATCTGTAATAGTTGAATAATAACATTCCAAAAAAGTAACATTATAACATAATATCATACTAAATAACAAAAATAAGTATAATATATTATTTTTGCTCATGCTCATCTCTTTATTTAATAAATTTGGTCCCTGTCCCCCTTCAATAACTCATCTATATATATACATACTCTCGTGTTATATAGATGTGTCCCTCCAACAGTTATTTCTTGGTGTGCATTTGGAAAATGTAGGTTTTTTTGAGAATAAAAAGCAACTTATTAATATTCCTAAAGAATACAGTTTTCGATTTAATGCATTCGTGATTGCAGGGATTCATCTTATTGGTTCTTTCGGTAAAGTCACGTAGAATGGAAATACAATTATAAAAATAAAACATAATAAAATAAAATTCTCATGACGTTTCGGCCACAACACAAGTAGCCTTCTTCAGGTGAAGGAACAGAACTGTCAGGACGACAGCGCTTCAATGAACGCTGCTAAGATTCGCAGCGTTCACTGAAGCGCTGTCGTCCCGACAGTTCTGTTCATTCACCTGAAGAAGGCTACTTGTGTTGTGGCCGAAACGTCGTGAGAATTTTATTTTATTATGTTTTATTTTTATTATTTTATTTCCATTCTACGTGACTTTACCGAAAGAACCAAGAAGATGAATACAGTTTTCAACTAGTCCATTTTAACTGCTTTGACACACTCATTGGAAACGTGGACTCTGACAGAGAACATGCAACCAGAGCTGAAGAATACCGAAAGAAACGTGGCAAGGTGCACACTAGGAAAAAAAGACCAAATGAGGAATGCGTGTATGAGAGAATACATGAGATTTAAGGCACACCATGTGACTGTAAAAAACATAATACGTTGGCTTGAGCAGGACACATCATTAAAACTATAACTAATCGACGAGACTGGCGATGGAGTGGCAGCCAGATGGAAGAACAACAAGCGCTATTCGCCACTAAGTGGCGGTGACATCAACACAGCTCTTGTGCCAGGCTATGTGCAATTTAAGGCCACACAAAGTGTCGCACGCATACTGGCACGTCACCGGACAGACCCAGGTGCCATGGGTTGACTGACTGAGATGACTGCCCCCTAATCTGCCAACTTGCTGTGCTTTCGCCACCCGGCTCTCCACTTGTTCTCTGAGTGAGCAGCAATCACAAGATAGTCAGCATACATAACATGGTTGACCAATAGGGAGCCATCCCTCGACCTTACCCGGGCATCGATCAGCCTCCCATTCTATCTGTACCAGATGTATTTATGTTCAACGTAGCCAAACGTTCTAATTTGAGGTGCAGTTGGAGATTCCGAAACGAGGCGACAAACCCCATAGGACAACCACCAATGAGCTGGAGTGTGATGAACTGTGGTGTTGTAGGGCCGTAAGGGGTGGTGACGATGTGGGAGGCTTCATCGAGCAGTGTAAAGTTAATGGTTCATGATGATGAAAACATTTCCATGACAGTGTTACTTTTTCACTGACGCTAGAGGTTAAAGCATGTTTACCTCTGCAATTCAACCTGTTATTCAAGCATAAATCAGAAACGTTATTAAGTGTGCCATTTACTAATTTGAGTGGAAATAAAAAAGTCAACAACCGTCACCAAAGGCCAGCAAGTGCTGGCATATTGACAGAACTTTGGAGAATTACCTACAAATAATATTCCTCCCCGAAAGTTGACCGAGCTCAGTACGGTGGTCATTGCTGTCAAGTATACAGGCAATGCCACTGCACTGGCGCCCAAAGGCCAGATGGGCCCAGGCACCGGGCTACGAGGGTAGAAATTAGACAGTGGGTCCCATTCTTTATTCTCTGCACCAGGGCCCATCTTAACCACGCTATGCCACTGTGGTCAGGTTAAAGACTGTGACAATACCGGTCAAATTAATTAAACAGAAGTGGGATTGTGCCAGTGAAGGGTTGTGAGCAAAGCAAACGTACCCAAGCAGACCCTGGTCCCAGCCTTTGATGACCTGGCCCGTGCCCAGAGTGAAGATGAAGGGCTGGTTGCGTGGGATGCTGCTATCAAACTCCGTCCCATCCTCCAACGTACCCTGCAAGAAGTAAAATGCACGTACACATTTTCATCATTCTGCTTTTAACTATAATTGATTGAGAACAATGCCAAATCAATAATTGTACACAGTTAAAAACAAGCAATAATATGGTCAAAACAGTTTAAGGTAAAATGTATGATTTTTTTACATGTTAAGGCTAATGGAAGTGAAAATAAAAATAATAATTGGGTTTGCATATTAGACATTGTAAGAGACAACATGACAAATGTTCTTTGGCCGGCGTTCTATTTGCTCCCCTATTGCTTCCAGGTCCATGCCTATAACACTTGCATGATTATTTATATGGGAAATGTGTAATTACCAAGCCACCATTTGGCTCAATGAAAAAACAACTTAAATTTAGGATATGCACCCATTTGTTCCCCATTATGTACATATTCAGTATTTGGTGGAATTTATTTTTAAATATCAACATTCGACGTTGTTGATATTGGCCCTTATTTTCAATTTGTTTTTTTTTGCAGTCCGTATAATTCATGCCCCCAAAGGAACCATTACTTTTTCTTCCATGTCGTTGTTAAAGATGCAATGTAAGCAGCCAACCCTTGGGAGCAACACACACCTTGTGGCATGCGTCGGTGCCTCGTGGCGGACACATGGAAAGCACTTTTCAGACTAAAGTTATGGTACAGTGGAAGTGCGGTGCGGTGCGTTATCGCAAAAGTTCAAACCAAGACTTTGTTGAGATATCTGCCATGTGGACATTCACAAGTCCGAATGGGAAATAAAATCAGGCGTTAGCAGGGCAATACCACGGAATGTAAGCACATGTAAAGGATTTTAATCAATCCACTGCTGAATGAGGGCCACAGATGCATTACAAAACAATTATTACCTAAAAAGTAAGCGTTTTGGAAAACAAGATAACATAAAAATCTGGATTGTCCGGTTGGCCGAATGCAAGCGAATTAACTTTTTGTTGTTGTCTCAAACCACTTTTCCCCAATGTTCACGCACGGTGTAATGCATGTGGAGGGTGTCGCCCTTGCGTGACTTGATGGGACAGCTGTCTGCGCGCTTCTTCACTCCGATCTGGAGCTTCTTTTTGCCCTCGGTGGCCCATGCGCTGCCCTGGAGGAGGCTGAGCAGGACGCACGCCAGCCCAGCACCCAGCAAGGCTCCCGATCTCATGGTGTCAGCACAACTGCTCGGCACGCGCACAAAGGAACGGTTCAAATGGGTAATGCTATAAGATTAGCACAGTTGGCTATGTACTGTGCGAAAGACGTTCAACATACGTACATACAGTGTGGTTCCACTGCCAAAACTCTGATGGGAGAATTTGTTGTCATCCTCTTTATAAACAAACTAGCTTTCCTACCCGGCTTTGCCCGGGACTTGGATTCACCACGCCCGGCCGCCTTTGTCTCCCCAGTAGCGATGTTCACACACCACACCAGTTACTCGTTTGAGGCTGAGTCGACCTAGGGGAGGCCCAGGACCGGTTAAATAATCGTCACCGCTGGTGGCCGTGAGCGGGAATCGAACTCGGGTTGCTGGGTTCGTAGCGCGGCGCGCTCACCACTACACTACAATGCGTTACGCTTCCACATGCGCGGGTCACATGACAGATTTGACGTCACACCTCACTTGCCGTGCAAAAAGTAATATGTATTATTGAGCTCCCCCTCCAGCCAAAAAAAACAAAAGTGTATTTTTATAATTTTTGCATGGTGTACAGTCTGGAAAGTACGCACATGGCAAATTTCAAGTTTTTTGCATGTCGGGAAGTACGCTAAACATTTTGAACAGACACACATAATCACAACTTTTTCTTTTATATATATGGAGATGTGAGCAGCAACCTACCCGACCATTGGGAAAATACACGAGGCTCACATATTCGGAAATGTATCCAATATGAGTAATTCTGGTCACTGCCCAAAAGGTATGTCTCCTCGATATTTCTCTACTTACTCTGTGGTTCTTTCGGTAAAGTGACTTTACTGAAAGAAACAAAGAGTATGGATTCCTGCACTCACGAAAGCTTCAAATCAAGATTTCTCTACTTGTCTATGCAATTTGTCAAAATGACAGAAGTCTAATAATACTAAGAGTGATTTATCCAGTAAAATAAATACCAAGTGTCAAAGTTTTTTAACCAGGTAACTGGACATTGTTTTGCACTCTTGTTCAATGATCATTTCCCACACATTTATTGGGTATTTTGTGTGCCCAGGTATGGATTTTGAGAGAAACATGAGGTCCGGATTAATAGTAGGAAGTTTTCTTGAAAGTAAAATAAACTATGAGGTTGACAGAAATACAGAAAACTAGTTCTCAATAAATTATACCATATTTTCAAATATAGTATTTTAATGTAATTTTTTATTAGTGAAAAACCTATATTTTCCTTTAATTTGTCATGTAAAAATATTGATGGTCACCTATATTCCACGAAATTGTACCTGTCTACACACGCATCCATTTACACACGCACGGATGCATATAAGCGGATGCTTACACATGCATGAATACACACGCACAAAAATAAAGAAAAGTGGAATTTTCTTAAATTTTAGTAAAAGTATTTGCACTTTGAAAACATGGAGCAAAATTTTGGACCTACAGACCAAGTTACATTTCAACTTACCTTTCAAAGCTTTATACCAAAATCATTTCTAAAATATTTTGTTTACAATATTCTCCTGAAAGCTAAATTAAATACCCTATTTTAATTTCAGAAGTTATATTTTCTCAATGTGACGAATACCTAATTTTTCTAACCTTACAAGTGTTAATAGATCCATTCACTGAATCTTACCCGAATATAAATTTCATGCCAGCCAAAGAATGTTGTTTATTACGTTAAAGAAGAACAAAATGTACATTATTCAAATTATGGAATGGCAGTAGCATACACAACAGTCACTAAAACGCCCTCATGAAGCCATCTGAGTGTTTTGCAGTCTAAACCAATAATATATACGTTGCATGCAATTATCAATCACACCCATTAAAAAAATCTTTCGATCAGCACATAAACCAAGTCAGTCTAAAAATGTAATGAACAACAAAAACCCTCAAGGCACAGAGTGAAGGTCTGAGCAAAGGCAGTTAGTGGTTGAACATTTCGCATAATAATGTCCACATGTACATGCACAACCATGTTGTCAATCCGCTGCTGGATGAAGTCCTACCAACTACACCTTGTGGGTTGTGGGGATTATTTGACCATATTTCAGCAAGCTGGTCAGTGCGGGTTGATGAAGACGGTAAGGGGCCACTATACAATATATACAGCGTACGTGTATAACTTTCATAATAAAGGTTTTTGTGTTATATCGCGTACGTATAAATGTGTCATAACCCTCCAACACCCGACACAGCCAGTAAGGTTTGTCACGTAAACAACGCGCCAATGAGTTACTACTTACGACACATTTATACTGAAGCGATCCAACCCAAAAACCTTAATTATGAATAACATCGGTCGCGAAAGCCTACATGTTAAAATCTATAACTTGGTTGATGAAGGCGGCAAGAAGTGATAGTTTTCCTCTACCGATACTCCTGCCCACCACAATTGCCTCACAGGAGTCTATAACACCTGTTATAGTTAACGCATGTTTCGCCTATATTCAAATAAAATGGAACGCGCCCAATCTCAGCATATCCCGGAGAGGTTTAAAACTGGACAGTGCTTGGATGGGAGGGCACCATGCACAAAACACGCAGGGATCACAAGGCATGACCACCAACTCCCCGCACTAACCCAGCGTAATAACCCCCACGACCCCCACACACTGACCAAGCGTTATAACCCCCACGACCCCCCACACTAACCCAGCGTTATAACCCCCACGACCCCCCACACTGACCCAGCGTTATAACCCCCACGACCCCCACACACTAACCCAGTGTTATAACCCCCCACGACCCCCACACACTGACCCAGCGTTATAACCCCCACGACCCCCCCACACTAACCCAGCGTTATAACCCCCCACGACCCCCACACTAACCCAGCGTTATAACCCCCACGACCCCCCACACTGACTCAGCGTTATAACCCCCACGACCCCCCACACTGACCCAGCACGGACAAGGGGACTCCTGGAAAGGGTGCTGCAGAGTACTACAGCAGTGACGGGGGGTCGTGGGGGTTATAACGCTGGGTCAGTGTGTGGGGGTCGTGGGGGTTATTACACTGGGTCAGTGTGTGGGGGTCGTGGGGGTTATTACACTGGGTCAGTGTGTGGGGGTCGTGGGGGTTATTACACTGGGTCAGTGTGGGGGGGGGGGGGGGTCGTGGGGGTTATAACGCCGGGTCAGTGTCGTGAGAATTTTATTGTTTTATATATATTATTATTTTGTTTCCCTTCAACGTGACTTTACCGAAAGAACCAAGAATATGAATCACTGCAGTCACGAAAGCTTTAAATCAAAACAACAGTTGTGTCAATGTACAACAGCAGCAGCAGTTGTGTCAATGTACAGTTGTGTCAATGTACAGTTGTGTCAATGTACAACAGCTGCGGCAGTTGTGTCAATGTACAACAACAGCAGCAGCAGTTGTGTCAATGTACAACAGCAGCAGCAGTTGTGTCAATGTACAACAGCTGCAGCAGCAGTTGTGTCAATGTACAACAGCAGCAGCAGTTGTGTCAATGTACAACAGCTGCAGCAGTTGTGTCAATGTACAACAGCAGCAGCAGTTGTGTCAATGTACAACAGCAGCAGCAGTTGTGTCAATGTACAACAGCAGCAGCAGTTGTGTCAATGTACAACAGCAGCAGCAGTTGTGTCAATGTACAACAGCAACATTACACAGAGCCACGTCACTGCCAAAGCTTACGCTGAGCGTTTTCCTATCCGCTGTCGTGGCTATCGTTTCGAAGTAAAAGTTCCACATTACAATGGTGGGAGCAGGTCCATCCACAACGCAACGACCACAACTTTTGACTTCCCAACAAAGTGGTACCTATTTTATCGGCCCAGCCAGCGACAGTGGGCTAAATGTAAAACAATGCGATAATCTCTCAACGTTCATCATCATCGTCGTCAGTCATGATCCACTGCTGGATGAATGCTTGCCTTAAGCCGTTCGCACCTCTCACGACCTTGCGATGCGACAATCCACAGGGAACCAGGACTCACAAAATAAGTTAATTGTAGTGGTGGTACAAGACAGTATTATTTAAAATAAATATTATCACTATACCACCCACTCTAGCAGTGTTAAACATGTATAATTGCTACAGCGCATCCTTGCTTAGGCCTCCATTCATTTGAACGCAAGCGCGGCAAGAGCCACCGCTTAGAACTCACACAAGGCACGTCGACGCAAACTGGACAACATTTGCATTCACGTTGTTATTACCGTTTTGTTGTTAAATACGATTTAAATTTGTTTTTGCTTTTTAAAATACACACTTCAGAGACGTGGAGCCGCCTCACGAGGGCCGTGCGGACGAAGTCTCCGTGCCGCGCTGGGCGATCGCGATTGGCTCCTGTCGCCGTCACGTGACGCGCCTGCTGGGGGGCGTTCGCGAACTCCACCACGCCGCAGCCGCAACGTGACGGCCACGTAAAGCCGGTCCTCGGCTAGGTCGACTCGGCCTCGAATGAGTTGTTTACCCCGTAGCCACTGGGAGAGACAAAGGCGGCCGGGCGTGGCGTTGTTTGGCCACCCCCTGGCCTTCATAGGCGCTGCTACTGGCTAGCGGCACTTGCCCCCGACGCTCTGTCACAGGCGCAGCAGAACTCAACGCCTGTCACTCACAGCACTCAGCTGCTGCTGCTGGCTCTGTTATATTCCGAAGGGTAACTTATTCAAGCGTAGAATTCATATGCCAATTTAAAAACAAATTTACTTTTTTTATATTCTTCAGGATATAAAGTGCATGCTCCAACTCCTATTATCCCCTCTGTCTCCCTGGTTTCTCTATTTAAGTGCTATGAACAAGGGTATTTACCCGAAACTTCGCCTATTTTATATATTTTCATTTTTAAGGTCACTGTTTTTGACAAATGTGTTGAAAATGTATGTTATTTGTGCATTTGCACCACTGCCTACGCAGTGTGATAAAATCATTTACAATCGCATGGAGAATTTCCATACAAAACTCGTTACACGCCTCACAAGTTCGATGATTGCTAAACACGTGCCACGTGACAGACTGCATTTGAATCCTGCTTCATGTATGACACACGTAAATATAAACCGCACGATTTCTGCCTAGATATGAATTAACTACATCATGTAGGGCGATTGTTTACCAATCATCAGGCGCATGCAGCGTGTGGCAACAATGTAGTTAGGTAAATATGCAACGTCTCCTTTACTTATCCGTTTCTTCAAATTCAAAGTAAAATAAGTTCTGACAACCCATCGGTCACACGGCCTTATCGAAGTGCATAAGCAGCATTGACAAAATACAACAAAACCCAGGACTCGTTTCGACATTCAGTGTCTCATCAGCAGTCAGTCTTGCTTGAATTAATGCTCGCAAACTGCTAGATATAATTGGCAATGAAAGGTCTAGAGTTGTCTTATACCGAAACAATGCTGCTGAAATTATACACTCCCAGAAGGTCGTAATGGTACGAAATACTTTTAAAAAAATGTAATTGTGGAGAAACAGATATATCACTGAATGTATCGTCTGCTTATCTTTTTTGTTATGTATATTCTCCACAACCACCCTAATTATCAATTTGTCATTTGTATTTTAATTGGGTGAATTAGAAAACGTGGAAAGATCATGGTGGGTTTGCTGGAACTGTAGTTTGGGAATAAAACAAAAACTCTTCGATTATAGTGTATTTAAGTTGGTATACAGTAGGTCTATTGCATTGGCAGTATTTCAGCCAGGTGACAGCCAATCATTATGATATATCCACTGTTGAGTAAGGCCTCCCGAAGCTGTCACCATCACTCACGATCCTGCGATGAAACTCCATGAACAAATCATCCTCCACATTGGTCGATGTCCCCTTTGGTGTGTTCATTCATTTGGCTTCCATCATCCATTCACAAAATAAAAAAAACAATAATAATGAAAACATGTATGGTGCTGTGCCATGGAAATCCTTGACGAGGGTGCTTATCATTGCAAGCAGCCATCGAAAACATCCCTTAAACTGTATGTATGTTAAACTTATTTTGCATCATACGTAGCCAACCATACTTATCGGAGGTGCGGGGGAAGGACAAACAATGGCTTTGTTGTGCGGCGTCTTAAAGTGTGCTCCCATTTAGATGCTTTATAAATCCACATTTTTGTATTGCATTTTATATGGGTATTTGCAATTACAGTACTGTACTGTTATCATTAGCCAAAGGTCATCTCTGTGTCTTGTATTATAGGCTGCAGCTGCAATATAAAGTGAACATTGTCAGGATTCGCAGCTTTGACCCAAAGGGCAAGACTCGTTGGAAAATGTGACAAAAAGGCATTCCGTCCTGACGGGCCCAGATTTATCACAGGACAAAGTTCCTCGTTCTAAAGCTATGATTTATGTTCGCATTTTTCTCTCTCTCTCTCTCTCTTGCAAATCTCCCACAAGTGGACTGAAGGCAACAGAACACTTTCCTGAGTGAAATTAATGCACTACACAGTCGCAATCAGCTGAGTAATAGAGTTTCCATCAGATATTCGTCCTACATAACGCTCGGTGGGCAGCATGCACGTGCTCTTTGTGCAGCAGCCTATGCACCATATATCACAATGATAATTATAATGTAAGGCCACTGGCATTGGAGTTGTAATGTGAAGGCACATCGTTCCGTGTGACAGATGTCAAAATAAGCCACACACATATTCAGGCCAATGTGCATGATTCACAGAGGGTATTCTCTACTTGATTCTATAATTGTATGTATATATGTAGTCTCAGGCATGCATGCTTATGCGGGATGGAGCGGTGGTGCGGTGGTTAGTGCACTGCGCTATATACCCCAGGCACCGGAGTTTGATTTCTGGCCACCGCTGTCAGTGGTATCTGAACTGGTCTCGGGCCACTACTTCACTAACTGGCACGTACCAGCGTGGTGAGGCACGGTCTCACACCCCTATAACCAATATGGCATGGCGGGGCCTTCATTGTTATGTACCGTATGTCTGTGTAACCAGTGAGTACATACAATCTATCTGTGGACCACACCTATGGCTGTATTGCCATATCCTGGCACTTTACACCTATCGCACCTGCTATGCACTTGTAGCCACCCTTCTAACCAATAACCAGGCATTACTTTTCTTTGCTTCTCAGATTGAATAGGATCGGGTACATTCAGGGTATTGGGTCGAAGTTTCAAAGGGCTCTCACTTGCTTTATGAGTGAATATAATGTCCATCACATGACGTGCGCATGGCATGTGTCCCGATTTTTTTTACATTTCTTATCGTATTTTGTTTAATTTAGTTTCGTCATTTTCGTGACCCAAGTCACTCTTGCGAAAGTGGACGATCCAGGTCATTTGAGTTCTCACCAGGTTAAACGACACGAGCTAACTTTAAGCATTAGAATATATCTATCTTTTCAGACCAGTGACTCACTGCCCATTTATTTGGCTTTTCACTTCTCAAGAGGCCCCTTTAATCGTTAAAAAAAACTGCACAGGCTGCCGAATTTGACTCATCCCTCAATAATGACCTCAGCGGCTGTCAATAATTATTGATGACAAAGGTCGCGTAGAATACTCCATATTGTGTCCCATGCGGTTGAACCTTATACTGGACAGGGCTTGACGGGCATTACAATGACATTACTAGCACAGCATCAATAAATTAACGGCGAGATTAAATGGCTGAAGAGAATTACCCCGATTAGGTCAGTACAGAGAGGCGCAAGAAGCTGCATGCTGCCACAATCGCAGACCATTTACACCGTGGATTCTGGAAATCGGCTAGAGAGATAAATAACTTCATCCATGTGCGTGTAACGAGATTCCTCCCCTCGCCCCGCGAGCAATTCAATGAATTGTATCTGTGGCCGTGATTCGATTGGAAAATCAATTTATTGTTGTTTAATCTGTATGGTCTCATATGTATGGCCTGTTTCCTACATTATGTTGTTTTTTTTTTTGTCTTGTTCGCTCCTTTAACCTAAAGGCAGCAGCATTTACTGGATTTACATATGATGTGAATAAGCTATTCTTACACGCACAATTCAATACGTGGACTAGCGATCGTTAAAACGTTGGTGTGAATCTATGAAGGCTTCTCCATGCTCTTCGGTGATGGTAGTAGCTTTACAAGACCCTCGCTCCGCTGGCCAGTGCAGCTTGGTGAAGGAGGTGGCGACCGGGAATGGAACTCACGCCGCTAGGTGCACTAACCACTGCACCACCGCTCCACCACAATTGTTCCATAAGCATTGTTATCCATATAATTTCCTCGGACCCATTTACTGGCTAAAGTAGGACACCTTCATTGTCGAAGTGATCATGTCCTTGGAGGCGGGGGGGGGGGGGGGGGAATCCCTTCTCCCAAGGGCCATATGCTAATTACCTTCATGATGGGTAATTGCGAATACTTACAGCTATATATTAGGAATGCTTAACGCTTGATTATTAATGGCGCAATCAGCCGCATGGCAACCCAAAACAGGTACAAGCGAAGTCGTCACCTGTGCCGTGATTGTCATTACAATTGCTGCACTATGGTGGGTCACTCCATGTTATTTTATGTTTGTGATGTCTCCTCTATTTCATACAATTATCAATATCGACATGTGATATCTAAACTTATGACCTATATTAACGTTTTAAAATAGATTTTTATTTTTTTCTTCGTGATATGTTTTTAAAATAGTTTTGAATACAATCTATTAGATGCATAAATTTATAACCACCACTGCTTCCCTGTGCAGGTTACATCACGCCTATGCAGATATACATCCTTTAAAAATAAGAATTAAATAAAAAACAACCAAATTCTATAACTGGTAGGAAAAGTGAGTGGGCTTGGGTTGGACACATCATGTATGTACGTATGTTGAACTTCTTTCGCACCATACTTATCCAACCATGCTAATCAGGGGTGCGGTGGGTGGTGGGACAACAAACTGAAAACAAAAAGCAGTTCTAAAGAAATGGGGTTTCAATCTTGATTTCAAAGTGCATAGCTTCCAGTGGCTTCCTAATATCGGACGGCAGAGCGTTCCAGACGGCCACATAAGTGTATCTGAAAGCGTGCGATGCGGTGACCGTCTTTGTTTGATGGCCAGCCCAAAAAAAATATATTCTCAAGGTGGCAAGCTATTCGTGATTGTTAAAGAAAAAAATAGATGTCTGAAGGGCTGTGAAGTGGCTAGGAGATAGCAACAGAGTGATGCAATTCTTGAATCTATCTGTAATTCTTGAATCTACCTTCCTGAATCTCTCATTGCTGTGTGCATTACGGACCCTGGAATTTGATGTTTTTCGGTATTTTATTTCCGTTGCTGCTGCTGCTGTGCTCACACACCATG